AAACATGTATAATTCCTCAGAGACTCCAGTGCAGCACTCACATCTATGGTCTTGTCACTGAAGTACTTGATGTACTCGGGGCCCATGTAGAGAGGAGGTTTACACGTCATGACGAAAGCTGTGACAAGACATAAAGAGACAGAGTGATGAGAGTTCAAGAGGTTTAAGTGGATGAAAACAACAGCTTCATCTTAGTTTTCCATTTTCCTGAAACTGGAGATCTCAGCTCAGATCATAGACAGAAACTAAAACTCTAAAGTTCATTTTCATTCTGAGTATTCCTATTTTATTATTGTGTTGATTTTCATACTATTATGAAATATTTATATAATAATATTGTAGTTGTTGTTCTGTCTTTAATTACTTTACTTCATTTTAGACTTGCTTTAATGGAGCTCCCCTACAATTTATTTCAAAATTTTTACTTGTAAATTAATCTCGACTCAATTCTACTGATCAAAATGTATCTGAGAGTTTCCTGCAGTGTCTCAATGTGAAATTTGTGTAAACAAATACAATTTTAAGAAACAGAATGTTGACATTCATATTTTTTATCAAGTAATTTATTTATAATTAAGTTTATGCTTTATCTGGAGAATATCAAGCCTCAATTACATTTCTTTATCATAAAGCTTTGATGACGATCTTCAGAGTCATTGCCCAAGAATTTTTTTTTTTTATATACATCTCGGCAGTTAAATCAGTATTGAAAATGTTTAACTGCGTAATATGTGTGCCATCATCATCCTTCATAACTCCATATTGGTGAGGCTCTGATGGGGGTATGAGCTGCCACTCAACAATAACTGTAACACACATATCTAGTCCAGTCATGAGTATTTGTCACAAAGGTCACGAGGCCACTGACCGACACACAGTGCGAGGTAAAGGATGCCGAGCCGAACGTCCAGCCTGAAGAAGAGGATGGTGTTGGCGACTTTGCTGAACAGGAACAGGTTGCCCATGTGCTGCTCCAGTGTGACTAGAATAAAAGGGAGAGAAGAAGAAAGAAGGAAACAACACGTGAAGCCGGTAAACAACCTTCAACCTGTCGATACAAGGTCAGAGCACAGGAAGAAGGGATTTACACTGCAGCTGATGTTTACACAACAAAGCAAGGTTTTCCTGGATGTGTGCAGAGCTTCTCAATGATGTGAAACAGTTACACATTAGACCACAAATACCAGTGTGGCTAAAGTTTAACAGCGGAGCATTATTGCTTTTAGCTACGAGGTTGTGCACAGAGGAGAGCTCAGAGTTTTCTTTCAGTGTAAACCTTTAGAAATAAATAGAAATAAAAACCATCACTGTTTATAGTGTAAACAAACACGTAGCATGTTATGAAAACAGTTTGTTTACACATAAACACATGGCAGTTCTACTATTTGTCTGAGCAACCAGTACTCAAGAGCTTAAAGGACTTGTTTATTTATTAGATTCGCTGCTTGATGGCCATTCTGATAATTGATTATATGTTTAAAGTTATTTCTTAAGGGAAAGTAACGTGGCCGTGGCTTCATGTTCTTAATATTTGTGAGATGCTCCTGTTTTTGTATTACTGTGAACTCCACATCTTAAAGTTTTTGACTGTTTAACAGACTAAAAAAGATGTTAAATCTTTTAACGTGTGCCTCAGGAAGTAATCAGACATATTAATAATGAAAATAATTATTATCTGTTGTCCTATACTAAAACCAGATTTAGTGCATGGCAAAAGAAGGACTCAAGGACGGCTACTTTTATAATGGGCTTTTGTTTGTTTGTTGATTGGTTTATTTAATTGTATCCTTCCTTCTTCTTTAACATTGCTAGTTAGTGCTTTTTCAAAAACGTATCTCTGATCTCTCAGGTGAAAACTGATGGATCTTGGTGGGGGAAATAATCAGGCACATTTAGGGACAGTGTGTAGTGTGGTGCAGCTTGATTAAATTTAAGGTAATAATGGGCCTCGCTCTATCTAGTGCCACTGCTTTTTACACTTTTAATTTTAATGTGTCATTTCACATTTTTTCCTCTTTACCTTTAAGTTCCTGTCGTTATCTTTATCACTACTTACAGCACTTACTTTTTAATTACGCTTTATCTTTCCCCTTATTTTACTACAACGACTATTATTACTTCTATGTTAGTCATACACCTAAACACCAAAAGCGAATTCCGTCAATGATTAAACCTACTTTGCAATAACACAATCTGATTATGGTGTAGTTTTATAGCAGATAAGTTATTAATCAAATGATCTAAACCGACATTTGAAGCAATAAATCTGAGGTTCTGACCCCTGATAGTCTGAGGTGAGGGGGAATGATAATAAACTTTTCATAGAAACATGGAAAAAGTAAATTAATAAAGTAAAATAACAACACATTTCAAACGAGTTAACTCAAGACAATGGGTAAACTGGTGGGTTGAGACTTACTCGCTCTCCTGTTCTTCATCATCACTATCGCACTGAGGAACATGAGGATCTCCAGTTCTCTCTGTGAAACAAAAACATGGATCAACAGTGTGATCAGAAGTGAGTGTTGTCCACCATGTTGAGCTGCAGCAGCAGCAGCGGAGCAGCAGCTCGGCCCCCGGCAGCGTGCTCAGCGCTCCCCGTGCTCACCCAGTCAAAGTTGCAGGAGTCCCCGTCCTCCCGCTGGGTCGCCAGGTGCTCGCACAGCCCCGGAGCCTTCCTCACCACCAGGAAGGCGACGGTCATGAAGAAGGACGTGATGTAGTAGGGCTTCAGCAGCCATTTGTAGATCTGAGGGAGGTGGTAGAGGAAGGTGCAGATCCCGGTGATCAGAACCATGTTGGCAGCGAGCGACAGAGGATCGAGTTCGAGCAGCAGTGACAGCTGAAGGTCCGCTGAGCCAACGTGCCGACCGGACCTCACTGCGCATGCGCGGCTCAAAGCGATCCGGTCATGTTTGGACACGAGCGTTTGCCGTAGATTCCTTCAGAGCTGCATGATTCACTAACTCACATTATCTTTCTGTTTGTTGTGTTGTTAGTTCATATCCGCTTCATGTTGTTGTGCTTGGGTCATCAGTACAGTTGATTTAAATGATCGCAGAGCCAACATTGCATCATGAACTCTCCATGAAATGAATTTATTGTTTTAGAAAATATATCTGAGAGAAAGGCTGGGATTGAAATGACTGGGACTAACTGGAGCAGGATTAT